TGCGGTTACTGCATTCAGTGTAAACGACTCGAGCCACCCATTACCTAGGTTTAATTGCACACATAATGTCTGAGGTGAGAGGTATCATGAGTAATCAAATTGATTAATAGCCTTCATAACGACTGTAGATATGATTTTATTTACACAAGAGAGCAAAGCTTACTGATGCTTCGTTCAAACCAGAAATGCTGGGAATTCTGGCTTAAGTTCTTATGTGGGTGCTTTCTTGAGTGATAGATGAACTTTTTAAACGTATCAGTGTAAGCACAGATCCAACAGCCATCTAATCGGTCATTCATTGGGCAAAAAGTGTGCGCCTAGCTTTTCAGCAGGTTCAATGCAGCTTCATTAGCTTAGCAATTGCTTTCGTAATTCTTTTAGAAATAAAAGGCGTAAGTCGACTACGAGAAGTGTCCGCGTAATCGTTGAGAATCTAAAATGGCCCGATCATCAAGTTTTTGCCCCTTATGACATGGTAGAATGATCGTAACGGCATCATACTTCAGCATCTTGCGCTCGCTCACGAGAACTGAACTTGGCTTACAAGCACCAAAGACTCGTTGTAGCATCAGACTTGACCATCATAAATCAATTTTTTTCCTCGCTCAGCACCAAATTACCACGACATTCTTCGAATAAATTTATTAAAACCATTTTTTATTTTTCGATTCTTCATGTCACTTGATTATTTACAGCCGGAAGGTGAAGATGAGTTGAAACGGAAGCAACTTATGGAACTCGCTATCATCAATGGGACCTACCGATCTGCAACAGAGCAGGCAGCTGCCGCTGCAGCAGCCGCGCAGCTGAAGCAGCCATTAGCTGCTGCTCTCCGTAAGTAGTTATTTTCCTTAATTTCCAGCTTCACCTTTTGACCCTTTTTATTTGAGAAACCTATAAATATGCACTACTAGATATTAGGAAAATGACTAAGTTCTGCTTTGGCAGTTTCGATACTCACAAGCCACCTTTTTCGGCGAACACGCAATCTCTTCAGCCATTTTTATAAATTTAGTGGAAATGGAATGAATAGCGCATAGTAAGATATCTTTACAAGAATACACTCTGTTTGTCACGTTGTGAATAAGAACAAAAGAGCTACTCACCGAAAAGCTTCTTGTTATGCTAGCATTCTACGTTTGCTTGTTAATGAAATGAGACTACTAACATTTTTGTCTAAGCTTTGCTCAAGGAAAAGATGCTTTTTGAACATAAAACCGATTGCTGTGAAAGAAACATGCACGGAGTGCACGATCTCGGCAAATTCATAAAGGTGTGCGATTGCACAAAGTGACTCTGACACTGAAGGCATACTGAGACACCATTTGAAAGCTTGTACACTTTTTACGAAACTCTTTTTCAAATGCAGAGGCTTTCATTTTAACTTGTGAGCGAGGTCTGGAACGTAATAAGTGACTCTATCTCATGGCTCTGCTTGCGTAGATATGCACTGAGACACGTAGATATGCTTTCACTCTTATAAATGCATTATGCAGAAATATTAGTTTCGGTATGCGAATATCTGAGAACTTCCCTAATGATGAATAAAAAAAGTGTAGACACGAGCAGAAAAATTCTCACGTTGTTCT